CTGTAAAGATGAGCAAACACGGCGCATTCATTAGCCCCGGCGGCCCCCTCCCTCCCTCCCGGCAGCCCCAGGAGATCCCCAGGGCCCCGCTCCCGAGGATGCCGAGCGCGTCCCTCCCGGCACCAACGAGCGCCGGCAAAAGGCAAATTAATGACAAGTCGCTCGAAGAGTTTGCCTGAAATTATTTTATTCTGCCTGAGAATTGATTACTCCCGGCCTGGAAATATGTCCAAATCAATACGTTAAAGCTCAGGGCAAAAAAGACATGCTCTAGTCCCATTTATTTAATTCACTTTTTTGAGGAATGGCACATAATTTACCGGGTAGGAATTGCTAAGCCTTTCCAGAGCGAGGACTAATGACAAGCCATGGGAAAGCAGTGTCTTCATCCATCTCCCAGGAGAGCTGGTGACAAACTTGGTGGTGGCCAAGACCCCTCAAAGCACCAGGATGTGTCTCCAGCCACCCCTGCCAGGCAGATGGATACAGAGGTGAACTACATGGCTCAGGGTGCCAACCAGGGACACAATTTCAAACCTCCCCTTTAGATAAATCTTCTTAAAACAAGACCAAAATCCCTCCCAAAAGGACAACTGCTGCCCAGGTGGCATCCCCTGTTTTCCTCATATTTGTGCATCCTAGACCGTTTCCTACAGGTAGTGTGGCCTGCAGACAAATACTCACTCCAGGCTAATAAAGCACAAAATAAATATCCAAAACCCACCTACAAACAACCTCATGTGCTGGTTTTGGTAGCAAAGTCTAGGAAAAAGAACAGCCCTGCAAATACTGAACATGCAGGTGGGACAGGCCTCCCACTCATGCCCAAGGTAACTCCCACCAGGCACCCAAAACCTGTGGTACCTTTTCAGGAAAGAAGGAGCACGTCCCAGCATTGGAGTGATGGGAAATGCCTGCCTGGAAGCCCCCGGGCCCCATAACGACTGAAAGCAGGCTGAAAGAAACAGTGGTTCCGGGGTGAGCTGAAAGTGGTGCTGAATGTACACAACAAACACTGAAACTGGGTGAGCAACATTTGTGGCTTGGCCTCAGTGTCGGCAGAGAAACACCTGCACTACCCAGAGTGCCTGGGTGCAGCTCTCTGAAGTAAACGGCACAAGGGACGCTGTGCAGGACAAGGACACGTCACGTTATCAGGGAATGAGACCCAGGTCTGGAGGAAATGTCAGCCCCACGTGCTGCTCTGCACAGCCAACGCCGCAGACGCACCCTGCGGATGACACGCGCCTGCCACGCGCCCCATTTGCGAATCCTCTGCATGCTCCACGGGGTCCCGGATTTTCCAGGGCATTAAACCCTATCCCCCCTCAAAAAGCTTCATGGCAGCTGTCATCCTGCTCGCGGGGGGTGGACGGGAGGGCTCCTCGCTGGAGACCATCAGTGTCACTCCCGAGCCGGTGGTGGGTGAAGGACGAGCTGGCCCTGCCGGCCCCGGGAGCTGCCAGCCCGTGCCGGGGGGGCTGTCACTGCTCCCCGAGAGGAGCTGTGGGAGCAGCACCTGACCCTGAGGTGCAGGGGCCCGGCAGCACACCTGTATGGACCCTCTCGTGGCTTCCTACGGGCGACTCAAGGAGAGGACAGTTCCAATCGCATTAAAACCAGGGAACTCAACCCTTTCTACTCACCACGATCCCTTCAAGAAAACATCTTTATGTAAAACAGAGACATAAAGCAGCAAAACACTGCAAAAATCAAAAGCCAGGGTTTGCTGGCTTCCCCTTGGGCAAATCCCTTCCTACCTGGGATGCCCCATACAGCTCCGAGGGCATCGTGTCCCCAAGCCTGTCCCCTGGGCAGCCTTGGGCTGCAAGAGGATTCCCACTGGCCCCATCTCACAGAGGAGAGATGCCAAGGCAGGAGAGGGAGCACGAGGAAAGAGCAAAACACAACAGGGCTGGAAGCAAGCCTTGCTGAACCCCAGCCCAGCTCCTGAGAGCCCAGTGAGGGAAAGCAGAGGGTTTCCATCCAGAGACACCGTCCGTGCCCTGCACGTCTGGCCCTGCCATCGGAGCCCCCTCGGCCCCAGCCCATGGACAAGGGCTCCTGGCTCACACCCTCCTTCAGCTGCACTTGGCTCTACTTACAGGGGACTTTTCTAGACTGAAACACTGCTTCTCTCCCATTCAGAATGGGAACATCCATGAAAAGGGGTCATTCATGATAAACTTGTGAGTGCCGGGTAGGAAGAAACCCACTCAGCCCAGGAAACAACATGGCCTTTATGTTTCAGCACTTCTGCCCGAGCCTGCAGGATGCTCCCTGGGTGAGGCAGTGAGGGCTGGGGGGCTCAGCACAGCCCCTCTGCACTCCCTGCCTTGCACAGCTCCCCAGGCACAGCCTCACAGAGCAGGGCAGGGACCAGCAGCATCCAGGGACACATGGCAAGGCTTCCATTCCTTCACTCACCTCCCTTACATCCTAACAGGCACAAATCCCCACATGTGGCAGCAGTGTAAACGAGTTTTATTACTCAATAAAATATTTGAAGCAAAATAAATGGTTTTGTCAAACACTATATCTCCTCAAACAATAATGCACCGGCTTACGAAGAAAAACAACCGACATTCATATTCTATGGCAAAGGTTTATTTCCCCTCCCAGAGGAGAGGGGAACAGGCATTTCAATTCGGAATTCAGATACTGTATGGGAATACAGTAACTATAGTTCTCGGAGGGTTTGTGCAAATGCCAGCAAAACAACCCCCAAATCAAATTTATTAGCTGGTGGAGATCTCTAACAATCTTACACAGTGACTGATGAAGCCGTCGGGGAATTCCTTTCAACATTAAGTGATTTAAAGCCCCTACAGAAACTTCATTGTCTGTTCCAAGACAGAAAGAGTTCCTTGGTATCCAGTGCTGCTCCAACAGCAGCACTGGGATGTGTGTTATTGCCAATGTGTGTTTCCTTTCATCTGGAAAGCAAACCAGGAATCCTAACATCCCTAGTCCTGTGGAGAACTATAAAAGAAGGAAGTGCAAATTCATTAAGAACCACAGCCTGTGTTTTAAAGGGACTGTCTGTATTTTGGTGGCAAGGTTGAGATGCTCACTTCTGCCCTGGGGATGCTCCCAGGAAACGAGCTGGGTCTCATTCCCCCCCCACGGATCAACCACTGAACACCCACAAACCGCTCGGCACAGGCCAGACCTGCAGGTTTGGACACAGCCAACTCCCACCAGAACCCAGGGCTGCCAGAACTGGGCTGGGCTGTGCTGTGGCAGTGCCAAGCTGCTCTCCTGAGAAAGCACCAGCGATGGCAGCCCGGCTCTGCTCCGGGATGGGAGATGCCCTTCCTCAGGATGCACGGGGGAGGAAGGTGAAGGCACAGCCAGTGCCCCTGGGAGCATCCACACCACCCAGCCCAGGCCAGCTCCCTCACAACCATTTTTTAAAGCAAACCCAGAAATGCACAACTCTAATTGCCAGGTTTTTATCATGCACACTCATAACTGGGTCATTTGCATTTCAGCTGCTAAAATATCAGGGGGATGTTATTTAATCAATCATCACAGCGTACAAAGTCCTAAGTGAGAGAAGATTTTTTGATTGTCTCTGCTTGTATCTAAACATCTCACAAACCCGCCAGCCAGTTCTTCATTTCAATTAGGGCAATGCTGATCGTTAGCTAACTAATAAGGACCAATTTTCTGTCACAACTATTTCCTAATTAAATTCAAAACAGAGATTTCTAACCCAGATGGTCAGTGATGCTACAGATTTGTTTAAATTTGGTATCACAGTAACAAACTACTAATTAGGGTTTGTAAATACACCAATTCCCTTATGACTTAGTTGTTAGTAATGCATACAACCGGTTTATTAAAGCACTAATTGTGTCTGGCTTTACTTGGGCCTAACACATAATCCACTTATCACATACTGGTACCAACTCATTTTGAAGGGATTATGAATGAAATCATAAATGAGGTCTCACATCCAGTTCCCGGTATGGTTAATAAAGGTTTGGTGTCATATTTAGATGGTTTTCTGCCTGTGATGGAGAGCGGCCCAGCAGTGACGCCGCTGCTCCCTTCTCCAAAGGGTGTTTAACGAAGAAAGTTCTGGATGCCACCCCCGTGCCCAAAAAGGGGGTTCTGCCCCAGCTCTGCTGACCAGCAAATCATCCCAGCAGCCAAGCTCCTCGAAGGGAGCCCCAGCCTTTCCCAGAGAAAGCACCCACTTGGTTATTGCCCCCTGGAGCCAAGCTCAGCCCCTCCATGGGGGACCCCCGGCCTTTGCCTGAGACGCACGGGAGACCTCCTGAGACCCTCACGAACCCCAACCACCTGCTTGTAGAGGGATGGAGGAGTCCTCCCTGTGCCACCAAACCTGGATTCCCTCTCTCCCTTGCAGAGGGACAGCCCTGGTTTTTGTGGAAACCTTTGTTCCGAGGAGCACAACCCCAGATAGCCCGTGGGCTCAACGCCCCTCGGCTCCACCGAGGGTGCATAAAGTAGGAAATAAATGATAGATAACTGTGAATTGCAAGGTTATGTAAACACGGAGGGGGTTTTAGAAGAATCCTATTAAACCACAAAAGAAAAGCATGGATGGTTTATCACATCACTAAGACCCAAGAATGCATTAATAAATAGAAGAATAGATAATGAACCGTGGAGTACAAGGCTAAACTATCTGCTATTGTGAGGATCCTGTGACAGTAGAAACAATGAAGGGGAAGAAAAAGCTTTGTTGGTCTGTCACCAGAACCTTGTAGTGTATCTTTTATAGCCTATTTTTAATGAATTCACAGCACCTATCAGTTATTCTCTGCCCAAATCCCTCATTTTCCTCCCTCCTGAATGCAGATTCCCATGCTGCACTCTGCCTTCACCATGACGTCCCCCCTTAAACTCAGGGTTTCTCTGCCTTTCAGTGGCCTTTCAGCCACAGCGAGAACAGGTTGCTGCTTTCATATTTCCAAAGGGTTTCCAGCATGGTAACAAAAGTGGGGTTTAATGCAAAGCAGGAGTACCTCTGAGCCCTGTTGCTTCCTTTGCCTCTTCTGTGACAGGACGGTGAAAGCTCAGACAGGTCTAATTCAGCTCAGAGTGATGATGCCCAGACGTGCCTGCAAGGAAAAAAAAAACACATGAAAGCTGCTGCTCCTCTTGCTGTTTTCCAGCCCTCTGCAAATAACACTGAGAATTGTTGGAGGGGACTCAATATTAATCCAAGAGATAGTACCCTCTTTGTAGACACTGCTGAGACTCACTAACACTTTATTTTCATTGCACTGAGGGTTTTTTATCATTAAATAGGGACCCAGGATACATTTACTGTAGATTACTTTTATTTTTACTGCAGCATCGTTAGGCACAGAGCACTAAGGAGACAGGGGTGACCAGGACATGCTCAGCCGCAGTAAAACCCCTCTGTCCTGCCTCCACCAGAATCCGAAATTCCCATCGATTTCCATGTAAAAAGCCCCAAAGACCATTTGCTGCTGTGCTGGCAGCTCGGTGTGCTCGGAGCTGCACTGACATCCTGCAGGAGCACAGCCTCGCCAGGCTGCTGGAGGCAGAACAGGGGCTGTGTTAGAGACGGGGGAACTGGGCACAGCAAGTGCAACACCCAAAAATTTCAAGTTCTTTTGGTGGCAAACCCCACCCGAAGCAGGTCCCTCAATGAGCCTGCACTGGCTCAGTTTGAGGCTCGCACTGGAAATTACTCTTCACATCTTAAGAGGAAACTGCAGGCAGCGAGGAGAAGCCAGACAGCTGTTGGCTTGTTCCTCACACCGGAAAAAGGGAATTAAAGAGACCTGACTGAACCCCAGCAGCCAGGAATCTGGATTTGCCTTTTTTCGGACCGTCCACACTGGAGCTCCCAGCAGCTTGTGGTGCCTGTGCCAACACGTGTGTCCCCTGTGCATGCTCACAGGGTGTCCTGCAGGACGGTCACTCCGGAGGGTCCCTGTCCCCAGGGACAGCACAGGGGGGCACCTCACCTCTCCTTCCTGGGTGCCAGAGGTGAGGCACAGGCAGGGATGGGGCTGCCCTCCCTCCCCTCAGCCTGGAGCCTCTCTCCTGACCACAGAGGAGCAGGGAGCAGGCGGCTGCTCTCCCAGGAACACACTTCAGGCTGGTGAGAACAGCCGAGTGCTCAACAGGCTCTGGAAACAAGTGGAAGTCAAATAAGTTTGCCACTCTTTGTCCCCCTTTCAATATCTAGCTTTGATCAAAATCCTTGGATACTCAAGTGGTTGTTGACTTAATGTAGTAATGAGACATAGCCTTAAGTGAGGCCATTTCCGTGCCCATTCAGCCTCTCCAAGAGCAAGGGATGCAGGAGGAAAAGCCTCTCATGGTCTCTGGGAGCCACAGCAGAGCCTGGAGCAGAGGCCTGGCTCCAATTCCCAGGAGCTGCACCCTGTGCTCGTCCCCCAGAGCCCCTGCAGGGATGGCCTGGAGGAAGGTGGGGCAACGCCCCAGCTTTGTCCCGGGCAGGTGACAGGGGACACGGGGGTGGGGGCAGTGCCTGGCCAGAGGCACAGCCCTTCTCTGATCCTCTGGGCAGGCTGTGGACCTGGGCAAGGCAGGAGGGAGGGAAGAGGCCAGGAGCCCGGATAAAAACAGCAAGCCCCGAGAAAAGTAAAAATTCTCCAAGTGACGGGGAGCAGCTCAGCCAATTAGGATTTTAATTCCCCTTGTTATGCACAGTCAGTCAATAAATTCTGCACCAAGCAGCTGCTCTAATTCTTAAGCCCATTAAGCCCTACATGTGATAGGCGGGCGGGAGGGGCTGCCGGGGGGCACAGACGGCGCTCCTCGAGATATGAAACATTTCCTCTTGTGCAGCTGGGTCACCCCACCCAGCCCACTCCGAACGGGAATTTTATCAGGCTGGCAAATAAGAATTTATATAAATATCCTGCCAGAGACACACACCCCACAGACAGGGAGAATAAAGAGGGGACTGGAGGAGATGCACCGAGGGATCGTTGGTGCTGTAGCAGAGCAGGAGAGCAGAGCCAGAGGGGAGAGTCTGGGATGGAGCAACAGGATTTTGGTGTCTGAAGTGGAGGGAGAGGATCCCAAAGAGCTGGACAGGCAGCCAAGAGTGAAGAAAAGCAGGATCAGAGACGCAGGGAGGAAGAAAACTCACGGAGCAGTACGGCAAGCCCAGAGGGGGCTGGCTCTGACACAGGAAGGGACCAGGAGCTACATCAGCAATTCCTGGAGCGAAGGGGCAGATGGCTGGAGCAGAGGTATCCCACCGACTACAGAGATGAAAGGCAGCAGAGAAAAGGGAATATACTGGGAGTGGAAAAGCATTCAACAGCCAAAAGGGTTTTGTGTGTTAATTGGCAACCAGCTAACACATTAATTACAAAGTTACTGCATGGTCAAGAAAGACAGCAGCAGCAGAGCAATTCACATTCCTCCAGGGACGTGCTCCCTGCTGAACAGCCCCTGCTCTAGGAATGCTGCCTGTGCCCGCTGACATCCAGCACCCTGAGCACCCCAAGCCTTGGGAGCCATGGCAAAACACAAACAGGACAGCAACTGTATCCACACCAACCCCACAGGCAGCCTGAGCTGAGCCTTCCCCTCTGCCACAGCCACCAAAAGCCTTCCCCAAACCTCACCTTCAATGAAATGGGGTTGCCACACCAGCCTATCATCCCTCACACACCCCTGGGTACAGAACCACGACCATAGGCACAGGCAGCCCAGCTTCTGGCAGGGCTTCAACCAACAACCTCAGATTGTTACACAGCAAGAAACACGCCTGCCAAACCATTTGCCGACTACTCATGACCCTTGGAGACATCTCCACACTCAGCACTTGTTGACAGGAACGGGGACCTAAACGTTTTCAGAGTTTAGGTCTGCCTTCTGGGGTTAAAAATCATGGCAACTTTAGCTGAGCTCTTACTAATCTCAGATTACTCCGAAAGATCAATTGCAGGACATGTGCATCCTGACAAAATTTATTCTCTTTCATCCCTTAGACACAGATATGAAAACAAGCTACCCACTGCAAATTGCATTCCCACTGCACAGCAGGAAAACATGGGCCCTCTGTCCCTGTCAGCTCCACCAGGCACTGGAGGAGTGAGCGGTGACGAGCCCTTAAGCTTTGGTCAAGGCAAGGGGCAGAAATGAAAGTTTGCTCAGTTCTGTGAACACGTCGGCTGCAAAGAGGCTGTTCCTATAATCCTATCCAGCCTCAAAATGTAATTTCCTCACTTGGAAGGCTGGCTGGAGCTGCTATTCATGTCTCAGCCCGAGCCAAAGCCCAATCTCTCTCCAAAGGCTGTTTCTAGACTGGGAGCCAAACACGGGTTTTATTGTGGGGAATCAAATGGAGCCCCCGGCGTGTGCTGGCAGTTGTGGCACTCGAAGCCTCCCAGCAGTGCTGTGCTATCTCCCGCCCGGCACACGGCTCCTGAGGGGCAGGAACACAGCTGGGCTGGCATCTCCTGCTTCGCTCTCCACCTGGAAGCACCATGGAAAGCTACTGGCAGGGTGGGAGCAAGGGTAGACCCACATCCCAGCAAACCAGCAGTTCAGTGTAGAGGCAGCAGAACACCCCACAGAGGAACCTGTGCTAACAGGGATGTGTAAGTGAGCACCAAGGCTGCTGCCCTGGGAAATCAGAATTACTCCATGATCCCCACCACTGTGGAGGCACTAAGTCGATAGCAGCAGCCAGGCCCAGGAAAGCCACTCCTCAGCCCACTCCAGCCACAGGGTGCAGCTGCCCAGGCAGCCCCGAGCTCCAGGGATCCCACCAAAGCCAGGGTGGGTCCCAGCCTCTGCCCCCAGTACCTGCCACAGACAGATCTCTGTATATTCACTGCAGCTCCTGCATAGCACAGGCTTGATAATTACAGCACAGAGCAGTGGCTGCTCCCAATAAATTAATTAGAAACGGCATCACTGTAATGTGATTAGTTGCCATCCCTCCACCTCGTAGATTGAGACAGATTTTGTTCCTAGCTCATGTTTCAAACACCACTAGAAGCCCACTCGAGCAAGCCTGTCCAGAGAGGGGGACCTGCATTGCTGAGCACATGCTCAGGGCTCGGAGAAAGAGGTTTTAAAACCTTCACAGCTTGTCAAGGCCAATTTATTCAAGGTAATTAATCTGTCATTTTAAGGACATTATGCATTTCCTCCACAAGTCAGCTGTCTCCTGCAGAGACATCTCAGTGTTGCTGGCCCCAGGAGCACGAGGCTCAGGGGTCAGCCCTTCCCCTCCCAGACCATGGCATCAGCTGGAAATTCATGATTATATGGACTGGCTTCTCCCCCTTGCCTTCTCGAGGCTCTCTATTTCCTCTCAGCTGTGAGCACCAGGAATTAAGCGCAAGTCTGAATTCCAGACAAAGATCACTGAACACTCCAAGCCCAAGGAACGCACCTCAAAGGCCTGTGGCTGCAGTGACAGGAGTCAATCCTCCAGATCTGGAACTGCAGCAACTGCAACCCTCCCCTCCATCACCTGTGGCAGGGACACAGATGTGAGCAAAGAAATTTCTCCATCACTTCCGATTACCCCAGTTAGTGATGCAGCAGGAAATGGGGTTCCTGGCGGTCATTAGCATTAATTATCCCGCAATGCCCCACCCCTGAGGAGTGACTGAAGATGCTGTGGCACACTCAGCAATGCACTGACTGTACCTGCCTGTCAATTGTCCTCCTGCAGCAGAAAGAATTTTAATGGACTGGAACCAGAAGGCCCTTTTGAGGGAACAGGCAGCAAACCCTGCCGAGGGCAGTTCAGGCACTCCGTGCGCTCCCAGTACAATCCCGGGCACGGGTACATCCCTGGCTATGACACACCAAATGGAGATCAGAAGGAACAATAGCCTGTAATCAAGGATATCTGCATAATAGCTTTCCTGAAGGATGTTTGTGCAGGTGAGCGAGGAGTAAAGCATTGTTTCATCAAATGGTAATTTCCTTGTATCTCAGAGAATGAATCCCATTCGCTCGCCAGGGCATAATTCAATTAAAGGGGAGAATCCTGCGTGAGAGAACGAAATCTATCGGTCTGACTGGGACGCTGCAAATCACACCACGCAAGAAAATGGCATTTGGTCCTGACATTATGATTTAT